GAGAGAGAGAGAGAGAGAGAGAGAGAGAGAGAAAGAGAGAGAAAGAGAGAGAGAAAGAGAGAGAGAAGGTGGCGGAGGACGGCGGAAGTCCGAGAGTGACAGAGTTAGACACGAGAGGCAGACAAACAAAAACAGAAAGACAAACAAACAGTCGTACATACAAGCAAACAAAAGACACACATTACCTGTAACCTCCCGGATTTGGGAGAGAAAGCTGAGATCGTAATCGACGTTTGGCTCGTCCAGGAAGACAATCTCCAGATTGCCGGCCAGGTAGGTGCAGTTGGTGTAGGTTTTGCGGTACCGCTCGTACCTGTACTTGGGGTCTCCTTGGTTTGTTACGCCGGTGTTGGTCCCATAGCACGCTGCAACACAAGAACAGAAAAATAACTGATTAAGTTTACAGTTCGTATTTCCTTTTTAAAAAAAATAGTGAATGCTTTACAGTATTCAAGAAGAAACACGGTGATGGTCAATATAATAAGCTCTTCCAAAACGGAAATCGAATCCGGGTCTTCTCTTCCGTTTAATTTTAGTAAGAATTTTTTAATTTTTAACAAATGAATATAGTTTAAGTAAAGTTTTTACGGCGATTGCAACTGCATAAGGTCATATGAGCGCCAAGGGTTGGAAGTCAACAGAGAAGTCCAAACTTGGAATCAGGCTTTCTCTGCTCACCTCTCTAGCCTCAACAACACAAAGTCTGCTTCAACTATCAAGGCAACCCAGAAATAGCAGTTTACAAGAGAGTGCCAAACATACAAAAAAAAGTAGCAGAAAAAAGATCACAGTAAGGATAAGGAAAGAAAACGTAGCACTTCCTCCAACGTTGTTTCGGTTAAGTATGAGCATGGCAATTCTACTATGCATACGAACTTAATATCCCCCCTTTGGGAATGGCCTAAAGACACTTCAGTTAGTGGCATTGCCCTTGTGGAGGGAGGGGGGGGGGCAGCGAGAGTATAAAACGGTATTGAAACACAATTAGGTCATATAAGTGCCGTAGATTAGAGGTGTTACAAGAGAGTAACAAATACAAAAGAAAGAAGGAGGAGAGATAAGGATGACAGATGTCTGAATGGAAAGATGGCGCAAACTCACGCCAGAGCATTCGCCAACCACCCACTGTTTAAAAGCACATCGGTACAATATCAGTTGTTTTGTGCCTGGCAGAGCGGTTTACATCCCCAAAGACACAATTTATATCACTTAGGGGGCAAGCTTCAAGAAAGATCGAAACACCACGATGAAACGGTGAGACCAAAACAGACTCTAACGAACATACATCCTTCGTCCAGTGAAGTATGCGTGTGAGCGTTTTACGCTTTGTAAGGCTAACATTTCAGTTGAATTCTAGTTGATGACAGCAATATTGCTCCAGGAACAGACCAGGACGCAATAAACAATGAAAAGAAAAAAAAAATGCAGGCCAAACAGACATACAAAAGGATCAACTAACGATTCCTCGCAGAAACGCGTGATTTAACGATATAATTTTAATTTTTTTAAATTAATTTTTTTGTTTTTTGTTTATTGTTGTTTTTTTGTGGCTGGGT